ATCCCCAAGGCCAGGTTGGACACAGGGGCTTGGAGCAAGCTGCTCCAGTGGAAGGGGTCCCTGCCCATGGCATGGGGTTGGAACTGGATGAGCTTTAAGGTCCCTTTCAGCCCAACCCATTCCATGATACAGTGATGCTGCCAGAACCAGCTTCAGGATTTTGGGATATATATATATATATATATAGGGATGTACAAACAGGCTGGTGGGGCTGCCCCCCATCTTCCCAGGTTTTTTAATGTGGATGATCAGCCACAGAAACAGGGAATCAAACCAACCATGCACCAGATCGTGGCAGAGCAGCTCTGCCCTTGTGCAGGGCATACCCAGGAGATCTCCTCTCAAACTGACCATGGTTGATATTTCCCTATGCAAGCCATGTATTCCATAAAATACTCTGTTTTGTATTGTTATCTTGGAAGAATGTGGGATTCATCTCCATTACCTAAAATGTAGGGCTTCCAGACAACTAATTGACAGGTTGGAGAATCTTTCTCAACCATCAGGTCTAGGCCCTATATTCCTGCTTCAAGATCTAGTTATCTTACCACCCATATAGTTAGGACTACAATCAAGGACCCAGATTCCCAGTACAGGCTAGAAGAATGATTTCCTTTTAAATCAGAATGAAAAGCCATCTTTGCCATGTACACAACCTGTATCACCTCTCTGCTCCCATGCTGCCACGTTTGGTAGGGTACGTGAACCTATCTCCATTAACCTTCATAAAGATGGGGCAGAGAACACCCAGTGCCACTGTTAAACAGGTACCTAGGACTAACCATCAAACCCACTTTGTGGTTGCAGCCATGGTAGGAAGTGGCTCCTGTCACCAATCATAGAATCATGGAATGGGTTGGGTTGGAAGGGACCTTAAAGCTCATCCAGCTCCAACCCCAACACCTTCCACTAGAGCAGGGTGCTCCAAGCCCCTGTGTCCAACCTGGCCTTGAACACTGCCAGGGATGGGGCAGCCACAGCTTCCATAGGCACCCTGTGCCAGCGCCTCAGCACCCTCACAGGGAAGAGCTTCTGCCTTATCTCCAGCCTGAACTCCCCCTGTTTCAGTCTGAACCCATCACCCCTTGTCCTATCACTGCAGTCCCTATGAAGAGTCCCTCTCCAGCATCCTTGCACCCCCTTCAGACACTGGAAGCTGCTCTGAGGTCTCCACACAGCTTCTCTTCTCCAGGCTGAACAGCCCCAATGTTCTCAGCCTGGCTCCATACAGGAGGTGCTCCAGCCCCTGAGCATCCTCATGGCCTCCTCCTGCATCTTTCAACCACCTTTTATTCAGCTGCAAGCTACGAAGCTCGTGTCCAACCGGCTGCATCTCTGCTCCCTTGGAGCTGTAGCTCAGGGGGGACTGTGGCATTTCTGCTTCTCTTATTAAGGTATTTGATGACCTAATTTAAGCCATGTAGATCACGGAATGAGTTACAGGCTCCTCAGAGGAAGTGAACAATAAGTCACCAACACCCAGCTGCAAGCACCAGTATCCGCACGACCCATTTCATCAGCGGCTCGCTCCCTCCCCTCTTTCTAAGCCACTGGCACATCTTGATGTCTCGCTAGCAGCTCCCTTTGAAGAGCTCCTTTGAAGCCATCTCCAAGCTCCTCTGGGAGAGCTACATGAAGACATGTGGCTCGCAGACAGGCTAGCCCTTGGTTTGGCTTGATCTGCAGCAGGAAGAGCACAGCAACCATGGATTTCAGTGGGAACACCCCCTTGGAAGCATCAGAGAATGAGGGCCTCGACATACACCTTTCTGCCCAAAGCTAGGCACTGAAGTAAGAAGAGCACTGAAACCATCTCTCCCAAGGGTATTCACATAACCCAAGCCATTTGGATTCACATTAAAGACTCAAGTAGACTTGAAAATACAGCCCAGGTACTGCTGGAATGAGCCATCAGCACCTCAAACTCCAGCACAGAGGTAAAGTAACCCATATGGAGTGGACTGGGGGGGTGGAGTTGGAACTGGATGATCTTAAGGTCATTTCCAACCCAAACCATTCCAGGACTCCGAATTTCAGACTGGGAATGTGGCTCTGGATCCACAGAGCACATGGAGCAGCCAACATAGAAGAAGTTACTGGTTGCTGATGGGCAAGGATGCCCAAACCCCCATGGGTCTGTGCTTTGAGGATGGGTAACAGTGGTTGGTGTCTTGTGTCCTCCCTTTTGCACCCATCCTAAGCGATGAGGAAGAAGTGGATGTGTTTTATATGGAAGGGAGAAGCCAAGATGTGTATGGCATGGAACAATGTGGGAAGAGAACTCCAAGAGGGATTTGGAGACCAGTAATGAGCGGGGTCCCTCAGGGACCGGTCTTGTTCAACATCTTCATCGCTGACATGGACAGTGGGATTGAGTGCGCCCTCAGCAAGTTTGCCGATGACACCAAGCTGTGTGGTTCGGTTGCTACGCTGGAGGGAAGGAATGCCATCCAGAGGGACCTTGACACGCTTGTGAGGTGCGCTGATGCCAACCCCATGAAGTTTAACCATGACAAGTGCAAGGTCCTACACCTGGCTCGGAGCAATCCCAGGCACAGCTACAGGCTGGGCAGAGAAGAGATTCAGAGCAGCCCAAGGAGAAGGAGTTCGGGGTGCTGGTCGATGAGAAAATGAACATGAGCCGGCTTCAGTGTGTGCTTGCAGCCCAGAAAGCAACCGTATCCTGGGCTGCATCAAGAAGAGCGTGACCAGCAGGTCGAAGGAGGTGATCCTGCCCCTTTATTCTGCTCTCGTGAGACCTCACTTGGAGTATTGTGTGCAGTTCTGGTGTCCTCAACATAGAAAGTACAAGGATCTGTTGGAACAAGTCCAGAGGAGGCCACGAGGATGCTCAGGGGCTGGAGCAGCTCCTGTATGGAGACAGGCTGAGAACACTGGGGCTGTTCAGCCTGGAGAAGAGAAGCTGCGTGGAGACCTCAGAGCAGCTTCCAGTGTCTGAAGGGGGTCTATAGGGATGCTGGGGATGGACTCTTCATTAGGGACTGTAGTGACAGGACAAGGGGTAATGGGTTAAAACTTAAACAGGGGAAGTTTAGATTGGATCTAAGGAGGGAATTCTTTCCTGTTAGGGTGCTGAGGCACTGGAATGGATGCCCAGGGAGGTTGTGAATGCTCCATCCCTGGCAGTGTTCAAGGCCAGGTTGGACAGAGCCTTGGGTGCCATGGTTTAGTGTGAGGTGTCCCTGCCCATGGCAGGGGGGTTGGAACTGGATGATCCTAAGGCCCTTTCCCACCCCAACTATCCATGATTCCATGATTTATCAGCCACATCTTGCGAGCACAAGCCCAGATCTCCCATCCACCACCGAATTCACACCCCCCCCCCTTCCAAACACCCAATATCAGCCTCCCCCTCCCCAAAAGCAGCAACGAGGCACTTCCCACAGCCAGAGGATGGAGCTGCGAGGGTGTCACCCCCCCCCTCCATCCATCCATCAGCGCCAACGGAACCAGCTCTCAGCAACAGATTTGCAGCAAGGTGCAATCACGCTGGGTTCAAGCATCATGTGATGCATTAACATTCAGCTGCAGCTACCGCCTTCACGGAGGAGATCAGCACCCCCCCAGCCACCCCATGGATGGGAGAAGCCACCCAGTGGGGCACCGAGCCCAGCATCGCATCGCATCGCGCTTGGAGCCTGCTCTGGAGGCACCCAGGAGCGGCGCATCCCTGGTCCAAGCCACCTGATGCTTGCAGGGACCCAAATCCCACCCTCAGCCCCCCCCGAGCTCCCCAAACGTGCTTTGGGAAGCATCCTTAGGGTAGTTGTCAGGTGAGGGAGGCACCGGAGCGCAGTTGATGCGGGTTTCTCTGTAGAGGTCACTCAAGGGTTGGTTCCTGCTCTCACCAAGGAGGGGAGGGAAGAATTCCCCATCCCCATTTCTGCAGCCAGGGAAGCAGCAGAACAGAGCAAGGATAGGGACCCCCCCCCCAAAACAGCGGTTACAGCCCCAATTCCAGCACGAACACCACAACTCCTGCGCTGCTGCAGCCCCATCCCTGCCTGCACCCCCTTCCCAGCGCATCCCTGCATCCACACCCACTGGAATACCACCCTGTCCTCCCCCCCCCCGGCTCCATGCACCCTCCTTCGCTCTGCCACACCTCGCACTTCCATAAAAACCCCTCCCCTGGATGCATCCCATGGAGAGGGATCCAGCCCATGCAATGATCATCCCCCCCCCCTCCATAAAGCATCCATAGGGAGCAGGATGCGATTGCATCCAGCCCTTCCAGAACAGAGCAGAGGGTGGGATCCAGCCCCCCCCATAACCCCCTATGAAGATATAGGATCCAGCCCCCCCCCCCACAGGGAAGGAACCAGGTCCTCCATGGGGAGCAGAATGCGGGATCCAGCCCCCTCCATGGGGAGCCCCCCCTTAAAGGGAAGCCAGGTGGGAAACAGCCTTTCCATAGGGAGCAGAGGGTGGGATCCACCCCCCCCCTTCACCAGCACCCCCTGGAAATTAGGGTGGGGTTGGGATCCACCCCCCCCCCCCCCGCATCCACAGGGAACCAGGAGGGGGGAGCATCTCGACCCCCACCCCCAATGCACCAAAACCGGGGGGGGGAGGGGAATATTCACCCCCCCCATGCACCCACAGCAGCAGGGTGGGGTTGGGCTCCAAAGCTACACCCAGCGGAGCGAAGGGGGATGCTGCTGCCCCCCCCACCATAAGGTCCGTGTCCCCCCCCATATAAACGCAAACAGAACACCCCCTGCCCTCCCCAAAACCACAGACACCCCCAAACTGGGAGGTGTTGGGGGGGCAAACACCCCTCAGAGCCCCTCCAAGGGGGGGCCACCCCCATAACATCTATGGGGGGGCAGATAACCCCCCCCAAGGGTGCTGGGAGGGGGTGGGAGCCGCTTATAACGGGGGGGCTCAGCCCCGCACCCCCGCTTCAGGGGGACCTCAAAGAGTCCAACCCCCCCCCCCGGAGCCCCCCATTGCCCCCCCGCGGTGCCGGTCCTCACCTCTCCGCCATGTTCCCGGCGGTCCTACCGCAGGGCAGCGGCGGTGCTGGCGGCGGCTCCGGTCCCGGTTCGGCCTCCCATGGTCCGTGTGTGTCCCCGCGTACCCCTCCAAGGGCAACCGGACCCGACCCGGACCAGACCGAACCCCCCCCACCCCCCGGGGACCCCCCCCAAAAACCCCGCGGCCGCCCCCCGCCACCGACTGAGGCCGGCGCGCCCGCGCGCGCCGCGTCCCCGCCGTCACCAGCGACAACGGCCAATGGGGAGCGGCGCAAGGGGCGTGGCGTAGCTGGCGGGACACGCCCCCAGCGGCTGTTGAGGCCACGCCCACTTGCCCGAAAAGGGTGAGGAGGGGCGGAAGTAGGCGCAGGGGTTGATGGGAGTTGTAGTTCGGAGGGGGTGCGGAGGGGTGCGGGTGCGCATGCGCGGTGGGGCGCACGCGTGTACACAGCGGGGGGGGTGTTGGCGGTGCACACGCGCGTGCAAGGGCACGTGACGGGGGGCGGGGCACACGTGTGTGCGCGGACACGCGTGTGCATGTGCGCGTGCGTGCGCGGGGCGCGTGCGTACGCAACGCACGCGCGCGTGAGCGCGCAGCCCCCGACGTGCGCGTGCGCGTGCAGCACGCGCTCGCACGCGGACGTGCGTGCACAGTGGACACACGTGTGCACATACGCGTGTCACATGCGCGTGAACACACGTGTGCGCAGGGTGCAGGCGCATCCAAGTGACATACGTCCATGCACACGCGACGCACTCGAGTCTGCTCCCTGTGCATGCAGGTGCTTGTGCACAGCACACACTTTACTGCACATACATGTGCACGCCAGTTACATGTGTAAGCATGTTGAACATTCGTGTTGAACGTTCACACTTGTAAACATGGTGCACATACATGTCCATGCTGCTTACACATGTAAACACAGCACACATGGTGCACATACACACTTTGCACACACATGCATACACTTAGCACATACATGCACATGCAGGACCTTGTGCACAGCACATATGTTACTGCACATACATGTGCACGCCAGTTACATGTGTAAGCATGTTGAACATCCATGTGCATCCAGGTTACAGTTGTAAACACAGTGCACATACTTCTGCAGCCCTTTACACATGTAAACACGGTGCACATACATGTCCATGGTGGTTACACATGTAAACCCAGCACACATGGTGCACATACACACCTCACACACACATGCATACACTTAGCACATACATGCACATGCAGGTGCTTGTACATAGCACACACATTACTGCACATACATGTGCACACCAGTTACATGTGTAAGCATGTTGAACATTCATGTGCATCCAGGTTACACTTATAAACACAGTGCACATACTTCTGCATGCCCTTTAGACGTGTAAACACAGTGCACATACATGTTCATGCTGGTTACACGTGTAAACACAGCACACATGGTACACATACACACCTCGCACACACATGCATACACTTAGCACATACATGCACACTGTGTGCCTGTCTACTGTGCACTCGCACATGTATGTGTACACATGAAGACATGTTTGTGTAGATGCAACTGCATGTAAACCACACACAAGTACACAGTGCACACATGTGTGTGCACACACGTGTGTGCAAGCAAATGCTCAAGCCCGGCATGCAGCCATGTGCACACACGTGTGCGTGCAGCACACTGCACATGGAGCCAGTTTGCTCACATGGTCTGTGTGTGGACATGTGTTCACATTGGGCATATATGTGTGCATGTGTTGCATGCACATGAACACACGTGTGTGCACAAGAGTGCAAACACATGTTTGGTACATGCGTGTACACACTGCACAGACACACGTGCACCCGATGTAAAGGGTGCCCTGGAGCTTTGTACCCCTGCACACAGCACACGCTTCCGTGCACATGTGCTCATACATGGTGTACTGTGCACACAAGCACTCATGCTTTTGCACAGTGTGCAAACACATGTGGTACGTGTGCATGTACTCACCGCACACACGCGTGTGCAGCCAATGCTAGGAGTGCCCTGGAGCACTGTACATGGACACACTTCAGCACACATACATGTTCACACCAGTCACCATGGTGCATATTCATGTGCGTGCTCGTTACACATGTAAACACGTTTCACACACACATGCCCACCAGTTTCATGTGCAGACACTGCACACGTGTTGCACATACACACCTTGCACATCCGCGCATGCGTTGTGCTGTACACAGCCTGCACACACGCTGGCACATACATGCACACCATGTGCGTGTCTATGTGCACTCACATGCACACGTATGTGCAGACATAGCACACGTGTGTTACCTACACGCACCAGGTGGACACATACACACAGACTACCTGAACACACGCTGGCACATACATGCACACCATGTGCATGTCTATGTGCACTCACATGCACATGTATGTGCAGACATAGCACACACGTGTGTTATCTACATGCACCAGGTGGACACATATGCACAGACTACCTAAACATACATGAGGTGCCCAGTGCCCATGTATGTCCATATGCACACAAGTATGACTGTACAACATGTTGAACGCATGTACATATGTACACACGGCACATACATGTGCACAAAGACATGTGCCTGCAGACTGGTCCTGGTCCCTCCCATTCCCATTCCCATCCCTGGCACTGGGATGGGTTGGGATAAGGACCCGAGACCAAGGCAGGACCATGCCTGGCTCCCAACTTGGGGTCCCAGCTCCCATTTGTCCCCTCCAGTCTAAACCTTCCTTTACCACCCCAGATTCACCTCAGTTAATCCGTTTCCCATCACCTTGCTCCTTATGATCCATTGGATGTTTCCTAACTGGGATGCACCTCTTCATGTGTAACGGGGGGCACCCGAATCATGGAATGGGTTGGGCTGGAAGGGACCTTAAAGCTCATCCAGTTCAATGTACAGGGACCCCTTCCACTAGAGCAGGGTGCTCCAAGCCCCTGTGTCCAACCTGGCCTTGAGCACTGCCAGGGATGGGGCAGCCACAGCTTCTCTGGGCACCCTGTGCCAGCGCCTCAGCACCCTCACAGGGAAGAGCTTCTGCCTAAGAGCTCAGCTCAGTCTCCCCTCGGGCAGGTTCAAGCCATTCCCCTTGGCCTGGCCCTACAGGCCCTTGTCCCAAGCCCCTCTCCAGGTTCCCTGCAGCCCCTTTAGGCACTGGAGCTGCTCTCAGGTCTTCCCTTCCCACAGCAGAGGGGCAGGATCCCCTCCCTGAGCTGCTGCTCACGCTCTGGGGGTGCAGCCCAGCACAGGGGGGGTTCTGGGCTCAAGCACTCACTGAAGCCGGGTCATGGGGAGCTTCTCATCAAGCATCACCCCAAGTCCTTCTCCTCAGGCCTGCTCCATCCACCCATCCATCCATCCACCCATCCATCCATCCATCCATCCATCCATCCATCCATCCATCCATTCACCCACCCACCCATCCATCCATCCATCCATCCACCCATCCATCCGTCCATCCATCCACCCATCCATCCGTCCATCCATCCACCCATCATCCATCCATCATCCATCCATCCCTCCATCCCTCCACCCATCCATCCATCCACCCATCCATCCATCCATCCATCCACCATCCACCCATCCATCCATCCATCCATCCGTCCATTCATCCATCCACCCATCCGTCCATTCATCCATCCACCCATCCGTCCATCCATCCATCCACCCATCCATCCACCCATCCACCCATCCGTCCATCCATCCATCCACCCATCCGTCCACCCATCCACCCATCCGTCCATCCATCCATCCACCCATCCGTCCACCCATCCACCCATCCGTCCATCCATCCATCCACCCATCCGTCCACCCATCCACCCATCCGTCCATCCATCCATCCACCCATCCGTCCACCCATCCACCCATCCGTCCATCCATCCATCCACCCATCCGTCCACCCATCCACCCATCCGTCCATCCATCCATCCACTCATCCATCCACCCATCCACCCATCCGTCCATCCATCCATCCACCCATCCGTCCACCCATCCACCCATCCGTCCATCCATCCATCCACTCATCCATCCACCCATCCACCCATCCGTCCATCCATCCATCCACTCATCCATCCACCCATCCACCCATCCATCCATCCATCCATCCACCCATCCATCCATCCATCCATCATCCATCCATCCACCCATCCATCCATCCATCAATCCATCCATCATCCATCCATCCACCCATCCATCCATCCATCCATCCACCCATCATCTATCCATCATCCATCCATCATCCATCCATCCATCCATCCATCATCCATCCATCATCCATCCATCCACCCATCCATCCATCCATCCATCCACCCATCCATCCGTCCCCCAAGCTTGTCTTTGTGCCTGGGATCGTCCCAACCCATGTGCAGGACCTTGTGCTCGGAGGCACAGGATGTTGTGCTTAGAGAAGATGAGGGCTGGGGTCCTGCTGACACCCCCGGCCCCATCCTCAGCGTTCCTACATAGGGACACCATGGATGGTGCCTCAGCATCACTTGGGATGCTCACAGCAGTGGGTGCTATGGGAGAGGCACCCACCCAGTCACTGACACTCAACAAGGTGTTGAGGATACCCCTGCTCATTGCATTGGGGTTGCAGTGGATGACCTTTATGGGTGCTCTGCAACCCAAACCATTCTGTGACTCAGTGCAGGAGGCCTGGAGGCTACTGCCACATCCCCAGCTCCCCTCAAGACGAGGATCTGCCTGCAAACATCAGTTCTACATCCCTGAGCCCCAGGACTGGGCTTTGGCCTCCTCCTTGACCCTTCCAGGCCATGGCCTCCCTTCTCTTCTGGGAGCCTTGAAGCGTATTGCTCTGTCTTCTACACCTTATGACGAATGCACGGTGCCAGCATCGCCAGCCCATGAGCACCCGCTGTCTCTATTGCCATGGAAACCAGAACTAGGATGCTTTAATATTTTTAAGCTAGATAAAGACTTGAAACAACCCCCTGACAATTAAAGGAGAAATGACAAAAAGAAATGGACCCTTCCATGAAGCTCTGTCTACAAAACCTGCAGCAACATCAACCCCTTAATAGCTCTATCCCGCTTCCATTT